TGTGTCGCGGTTATGTCACATGTGCGGCCGGTGAGTCGCGCGGAGATGCTTTTTACCCGGCTTCTTGCGGGCGGCGGCCGAGCTGAGAGCTGCGCCGGTGCCGTCACCCGGCGGTCGGCGCGACACTGTCGGCGCCGTCCTTTGTCGGCGGGCGTGTCGCGCGATTTTTCGCCGCCGTCGCACGCTGGGCCGGCGGGCCGGAAAAGCGCTAGAAATACCCCCAAGAGTGACTTTCCACAATATGAACAAAATATGTATCATTCAATCCCAAATTGATCAAAGCATACGATTCTGATGCCATTTTTGCCCTAAGGTCGAAATTGAGGTGGTCAGTTGTCACCAAACACAACACTATTTAGACTCGCTAGTGGCCACCACATTTGCCGATTTTAATGCCAATCTTTAGTTGATATTTATTAGTTGACCAGTTGTCGTTTTGAACGCAATTTTCTGTCAGACTAGTTCAGGGCACTGTTGTTCACTGTACCAACAACATTCTTACATATTGCATCGCTTTTCTGCAAGATAAGCTAGCTTTTTGCAAGCAGCTGCAAGACCTAAATAAAAATCATATCTAAATTTTTAAATAGACTTTTATAAAAACGTTATTTTGAGCGGCTAAAAATGAACATCTTATACTAGCCTCTGATTACTAATCTTTCGTTCCATATAGATGCTTTGCTGCTTTTCCCTGCTACTTTTCGAGATATGCGCCAGTAAACCACATGATGTAGGGGCAATTGTCACCTCGCCGCTCTACTGACGGCCCGGCGCTCTTTAACCCGGCAGTTGCTGGGGTATTTCGCCACCCACCGTTTGCTGGGGGGGGGGGGCGTTAAACGCCCCCAGCCGATAACTCGAGAACCAATAGGCGCAGCGAAACGCACGAGGCGGCAAACGAAAGAACGCGACGAGACGCTTCAGATGAGCACTTTAAAGTTGAATTTTGAGGTCACAGGTCGGGTCAAGGTCAGGTCAAACACCTGAAATCGGGCTTTCAGTAACATGGACTTCAGGACTTCGCAATGGGCGCCTCTCGTCATAAACTCTTGTCAAAACGGTGCACAATCCATCATATAAGGCCTACAAGAGTGTCAGCTCCATGTAGGGGTCACTCAAGCATAGGTCAGGGTCAAGGTCAGGTCAACCGGGTAGGCACATATCCCCGAAAATCAAAACTGATATTCGCAGCGTGCGACACATGTTTTATAGGTAATCTGGGGCGTAGAACACGATGGTGACATTCATTTTATCGTGTGTGTACGTGTTTGGCTCAAAAAGTTCAATTTAAGAAATTCATGTATCATGGTCGTGAAGTAGTCCCGAGAAATTGCCAAGATTCAGTTCAAGATTTTGGAAAATGCGGAACGATAATCAATAATCGAAGATAGCCATTTGATTGTTCATGGTATTGGCAGTCTAATGGCGTTAACCGCATGTCTGTATGTCTATTCTGTGATTTTATATGATTTTTTGAATATATGCAGTTTTTGGTCGAAAACTCAGAAATCATGACGTCACTAAAACCTCGATATCTCAAAAATTTTCCGACCGATTTTTTTGAAACTTTGTCACAATAAAGTTCAATCAATTCTCTACAGGTACCCAAAATTTGGCGCGCCTGCCGCGCGCCGTTTTTATACTATGGCCCGGCGAAAAAAGTGGGGGCGTTTAACGCCCCCCCCCCCCCCAGCAACTCGCGGGTTAAAGCGCTGAAATTTATGAAAAACGAATGCTTATCATCTGAATAAAATATATGTCCCTGAGCTCAGAATTGATCAACGCACACAATGCTGTCAAAATTTTTGGGCCAAAGTCAATAATTAAGTCATTATGAACCCCCAAACACAAGTCAGTGATAATCAATAACAGCTTGCTCTTTAGTTAGACTTTTTGGGAAATGTTATTTCGAGCCGCTAAAGATGAGCATGTCATGTAAACAACTAGTCAATTGTCTGCCATGCCCTATTGACGATTATTGCCTATTACTGCTACTTTTCGAGATATCGTCTGCTAAGTAACCTGATATAGCTGCTATGCCACCCTACCGCTCAGGATCGGACGGCGCCTGCTGTGACCTGACCGGGCAGCAAAGCATTCCCAACTTACGTAACGATACAGGTACTTACTGGAAGGTAGCGCTCAGTTCATGCTATGTTAAGGTGCCGTCCTGTAACAGATAAACATTATGTACATGTATAGTGATCTCACGGTGAGATAACTTTGTCCAAATATTTAACATGAAAATATTTGAACATGAAGATGTTAAATATTTGGACAAAGTTATCTCACCGTGAGATCACTATACATGTACATAATGTTTATCTGTTACAGGACGGCACCTTAACATAGCATGAACTGAGCGCTACCTTCCAGTAAGTACCTGTATCGTTACGTAAGTTGGGAATGCTTTGCTGCCCGGTCAGGTCACAGCAGGCGCCGTCCGATCCTGAGCGGTAGGGTGGCATAGCTAGCAGCTATATCAGGTGACTTAGCAGACGATATCTCGAAAAGTAGCAGTAATAGGCAATAATCGTCAATAGGGCATGGCAGACAATTGACTAGTTGTTTACATGACATGCTCATCTTTAGCGGCTCGAAATAACATTTCCCAAAAAGTCTAACTAAAGAGCAAGCTGTTATTGATTATCACTGACTTGTGTTTGGGGGTTCATAATGACTTAATTATTGACTTTGGCCCAAAAATTTTGACAGCATTGTGTGCGTTGATCAATTCTGAGCTCAGGGACATATATTTTATTCAGATGATAAGCATTCGTTTTTCATAAATTTCAGCGCTTTAACCCGCGCCCTGCTGGGGGGGTGTTTGAACACCCCCCCTTGTGGTTTTTCGCGAATATCTCAAAAACGGCGGCGCGGAGCGCCGCCGTTTTTGGTACACCTTATCATACATCAATTCTACACATGTTGTGAAAATTTCAGACCAAGGTCATTCAAGGTCAGGTCACCAGGTCACTTGAAGTGACCTCACCTCATAAAAACTTTCAATGTCTGTCATAGCTACACCGAGTGACCGATCGCTTTGAAACTTTCAGCGATTGCTAAGGGCAATAGCATGTACAAAATGTATATCTCAGAATTTTGATATCGATGACCTAAGGTCAGGTCAATTTTGCGACCTCCCCATTATAAGTCAATGGGAGAAAATTGAAATGAGCCTCTTTTGGATGAAAGACATTATAAACACTCCCAAACACCGAATTACAAGTGTTTTAGACACACTGAACTTGAAAATGGTGTCCGTGACCCTTGTTTATGCCCTGAGGTCATCTCAGGTCACGAATGGTATCTAACAGTTTTTCGCAAATAACTTTTGATAGAGGCATTCTAGAGCGATGAAAACGCCTTAGATGTGTTCAGCTCGACGATACGGATCGACTGATATGCAACATGACCCTTTCCGGTCAGGTCATGACCTTGACCTGAGGTCAAATTTTCAAGTTGACCCTTCAAGGTCAAGTTATAGTTCATTCGATGCGTCTTGACGAGAGGAACACGATGGCGGTAAAAGTAAGCTCGTACAAGGCTTGGGTCAAAAGTTATTGCAGAAAAACTGTTTTCGAAAAAATCGGCTATTTTTGCAGTTTTTGCCCCCTGCAGGCAAAACCGTTGACGTTAGGTCAAATCTGAGAGGATTATTCAGAAAGGGCGTTAATAGGGCTATCGAATGCGCTTTTCCGCGGCGCTGTAGCTCTATTGGTTCCCGAGTTATGCGTTGGCTTCTTGGAAATTTTCGACATTCGACCTGGAAATCGGCGAAATTTTGCCTTCAATGACCTCTGGTGACCTGACCTTTGCCCTGACCAAAAAATTGACCGAAGTGATTTCGTCATTATTTTTGACGCTCTTTCGAACGCCGCCTTCCGCGTATCGCTACGTGGCCCAGGAGCCGAGTTAGAAGGGGGGGTGTTCAAACACCCCCCCCCCAGCAGGGCGTGGAAATCCAGGACCCCCAGCAGGGCGCGGGTTAAAGAGCGCCGGGCCGTCAGTAGAGCGGCGAGGTGACAATTGCCCCTACATCATGTGGTTTACTGGCGCATATCTCGAAAAGTAGCAGGGAAAAGCAGCAAAGCACCTATATGGAACGAAAGATCAGTAATCAGAGGCTAGTATAAGATGTTCATTTTTAGCCGCTCGAAATAACGTTTTTATAAAAGTCTATTTAAAAATTTAGATATGATTCTTATTTAGGTCTTGCAGCTGCTTGCAAAAAGCTAGCTTATCTTGCAGAAAAGCGATGCAATATGTAAGAATGTTGTTGGTACAGTGAACAACAGTGCCCTGAACAAGTCTGACAGAAAATTGCGTTCAAAACGACAACTGGTCAACTAATAAATATCAACTAAAGATTGGCATTAAAATCGGCAAATGTGGTGGCCACTAGCGAGTCTAAATAGTGTTGTGTTTGGTGACAACTGACCACCTCAATTTCAACCTTAGGGCAAAAATGGCATCAGAATCGTATGCTTTGATCAATTTGGGATTGAATGATACATATTTTGTTCATATTGTGGAAAGTCACTCTTGGGGGTATTTCTAGCGCTTTTCCGGCCCGCCGGCCCAGCGTGCGTCGGGCCGCTGCCGTGCAGTCGGGGTCGGTCCCGTCAGCCAGGGTTTGTGCCGGGGCGCTGTCGGCGGCCGCGGAACATGAGCTCCCGGCCGCCGATGGCGCCTATCAGATGGGCGGCGATCACACACCTGGAGTTCCACTCAGTCCGCTGCATTGTAAGGCGGCCGGGTTTTTACGCCACCAGTCGATCGTCCCCTGTAGACAGCGAGCTCAGAATGCGGACAACTGCGACAATTAGCAACCGCATTGTGAGCCGTCGCCGACATCGGCGTGGTCATCTAGCCATCATCGGTGTGGTCATCTAGCCATTTTGCGTCGGGCCGGTACTTTTTTCATGCCACCTACTAGGAGTAATGGTGGGAACCGTCCTGGTATCGCTGATACTAACCGACACCGTCTTCCTCCACAGGTCAACCGGCCCATCACTATGAAAAAGGACGGCATCCAGACCCGAAATAGGAAGCTCTCGTCCAAGTCCAAGAAGAAGAAGGGCTTCACCGGCTTCGAGGGCATGATGCGTCCTCTGGACAAGGCCGGTTTCGGCTTCCCCGGCTCGAATTTCGGCGCCGGCATGTCTCCCTACATGGCCTATCCGAACAACATGCAGTCGATGGCCGCGCCGGGCTTCGTCTCTCCGCAGATGAGCATGAGCGGCATGAGCGCGCTGGGCATGGGCAACCTGGCCATCTCCTCGGCGGCCGCTCCGGGCGCCATGGTGAGTGTCGGAGGGTGGAGGGACAGGGCAGAGGAGCAGGGGACAGGGGGACAGAGCAGGGGACAGCTGGGGCAGAGGGCAGCCTGGCCATCTCCTCGGCGACCTATCGGGGGGCTGCAGATTGGGTGGCAGAGATGGGGTCATTTGGGCACTGGCTCGTAAATTGGTTGCAATAGTTTCATATCTGTCCTCAGTGGAGAATTCCGATTGTGTCGGACACGGTATAATTAATAAGACGCCTTTCATCATCGTGCGGGCGGAAAATGAAAATCTGTCACCTGAACTGTCAATAGAACTTTTCCAATGTAATTGACATTGAATTGGAGCCGTGGTGACATTTCGTACATATCATGATAATCTCTAGCCAAAGTCCATTTTCTGAGATTCTCGTTGAGATCTTGTTCTGCGCAAAGGTCCATCTGCTGAGGTGTTAGGAAGATTGACGACCGAGACAACGCTGCTCCTGTTTCAAACATAACTGATTTTCCATGTTTTCACCTTGTAGCCATTTTGCGTCAAGTGGCGCAGGCGTGTATGGGAGCTGTGATTGTCCCGGCACCTAATGGACGAGGGTGTAAAACTCTGGCGCGATATCGATGTTATAGATAAAAACCGACCACAATCTCACCATCCCAAAAATGTTATCGCACGCCGACTTTTCTGGCTGCTGAGTGATTGATGAACTGGCGTCAGCCGCGGCCGGCTGGCCGGCCATTAAACCGACCCATTCATTGCATTATCTGGTAAAAATGCCGCGCAATTGCAGCCGGGCTCCACACGGCGGCGGCCGGGCGGCATTTTTGACCGTGTCGCCGCCAGAACCGGTCCGAGGCGCGACGACTGACGGGGCTGGGTGCCGTCTGTTCCAGGGCTGGAGGACCGATTACAGTTGATAGTGCGGCGCGGCCACGGACGCCAGTGTACAAACTGACGACCTGACGGCCCGAGCCGCTCCCGGCCGGGGGCGCCGCCGGCTACCGCCCGGCGCCCCGGGCGCTGCTGGGCGCCGGGAGGCGACCCGTGCTAACTCAATGCTACCCAGCGCCGGGGTTCAAGTTCAAGTTCAAGTTCGGTGTATTGAGGACATTTCCACATAGTGGCTTAATATTTAGTCCGAGTCAGAAGTACATAGATAAAACATGACACAGTCAATATCACAGTAAATCACAATCAAGAGATGGGTATATAAAAACACGGTCCAAAGTCGGACAAACCAGACCCTCGACTAGTTCGATAGCCGGCGCAGAAACTCGGCGCGGGTTACAGAGCCGGTGACAGCCGGCGACAGGCGGTTCCACGCCGCGGCCGCTCGGTAAGAAAACGCGCGGCGCGACGCGGACAGGCGGTATGGAGGCAGCTCGAGAGCGCCCGCCTCAGTCGACCGGGTGCTGCGCCGGGAAACCGCTGTACGAGGGACGAACAGGGAGCGGATCGCCGCGGGAGCGTGCGGGTCCCTCAGCGCCCTGTAGACGCCGAGGCAGTCACGGCGCTCAACCAGCTCGCGCACGTCACACCAGCCCAGCGCAGCTAGGATCGGCGATATATGGTGATGCCTGGGCACGCCAGAGACAACCCTCGCACCAAAATTCATCGCCTTCTGCACACGGTGAAGGTGGCATGCAGCGGCGCCACCCCAGACAGAGAGGCAGTACAGGATGTGAGGAAAGGTATGACACTGGATAAGGAGCTTAAGGATGTCGGGACTGAGATGATGGCGAATTTTATACAGACATATAAGGATGGAATTGCACTTTTTGACAACGTTGGAGATGTGCTTTTCCCAGGATAAGGTGGGGTCTAGGGTCACTCCCAGCATCTTCACAAATGGCGAGGGTGTTAGTAAGTAGCCTGGCAGGTTAAGGTGGAAGGATGAGGTTTTCTTAAGGTTTTGGGCAGTGCCGACAAGGAGCAGAGTGGTCTTGGATGGGTTCATTTTTAAGGAGTTGGATGTGAAGTAGGAGAGGACAGCACGGAGGGTATCCTCCTGTCGGGATTTAAGGATGGATAGATCTTTAGGACGGGCCGAGTCAAGTAATTGGGTGTCGTCGGCGTAGGAGATGAGGCGACCGTGAGGAAGATAGGATGGAAGGTCATTTGTGAAGATGCTGAAGAGGATGGGACCGACTAGGGAACCTTGCGGAACCCCATGGGAAAGAGGCAAGGACAAGGAACCACCTCTCACCACCTGCCGTCGACCAGTCAGGTAGCCACGAAACCATCTAGGATCAATACCATACCAGCACAGCTTTCTAAGCAGAACGTCATGGTCAACACTGTCAAACGCCCGGCTCAAGTCAATGGACGTGACGGCGACAACATCGCCATCGTCGACACGCCGCGTCATCCACTCCACCGCGTCGATCAGCGCGTCCTCCGTTGAGTGTCTAGATCGGTAAGCATACTGTGACGGAGCTAAAAGGTGACAGCGAGCGAGATAAGATGACAGCTGAGTACAAACAATTTTTTCACACACTTTTGATAACACAGGTAAAATAGAGATTGGCCTAAAATTCCCTGGTAGATCTTTGGCACCGGACTTGTGCAAAGGCACGACTGTAGCGAGCTTCCATGTGTCGGGAAAAGTACAAGAAATGATGGACGCGTTCACAATGTGTAAAATATGAGAGCCTATGACAGTAAAACACGATCTTATAGCCTGCAGCGGTACACCATCATGCCCGACTGCGCGGGACGAAGACAACCGGCTCAGAGCCAGCGACAGCTCCGGCAGCGTGGCAGGCTGCAGACGCAGCCCCGCCGACGTAACACACGGCGGCCGCGGCGGGAGTGGGGAGGGGTCACTGGCGGACAGCTCAGCAGCGATTCGAGGCCCAACAGCTGCGAAATGGGCGTTAAAAGTGTCCTCTTGACCCGGTGGTACCCCCTCGCCAGCACCAGCTCCACCACGGGAAGGACGGAAAGCGAAATCCCTGATGTTGCGCCAAAAGGCTCGGCGATCGGAAAGCATGTCACTGGCTAAAAAGTCGCGCTTGCACTTGATCAGTCCACTTTTCACACAGTTCCTCAGTCTCCGATACTCGTCCCTGTCCGTGTCCGTGCGAGAGCGGCGCCACACGCGGTACGCTGCGTCTCGCCTACTCATTAACTCCCGCAGCTCCGGGCAGTCCTCCAGCCACGGGCAGTGGGGCCGGCGAGGTGTGACACGCTTCACAGGACAGTGCACGTCAAGTACGCTCCACCAGATGGCCAGAAAAGCACTCACTTTGTCGTCAATCGAGACTGAGTCATAGACAGCATTCCAGTCGGCCCGCAGAAGGTCCAGACACACCGCGTCCCAATTTACCTTGCGCCACAGGCGCGCGGTGAACGGGGCCGGTCGGCGACCCCGCAGGCCCACGGGCGCCCGGACGATGACGGTGAGATGATCCGCGATGACGTCAGGTGGTGGGACTACCGTCGCGGTGAGGTCCGGGACGTCGGTGATGATGTGGTCGGAGCGTGCCGGCCGGCTCCAAGTGTGTCGGCTCGGTAACCAGCTGGACAAGGTCCAGCTCGTGTAGAGCAGCCTTGTACTGGCGCACACCTGGGCCGTCTGGTCGCAAGATGTTGATGTTCGTGTCGCCGAGACAGAACACCGGTCTCCCGTACCCCCGCGCCGCCCGCAGCTGGTCGTGCAAGTCGTCCACTGCGCCAGCGACAGGGCTGGACGGGGGACGGTACACCACCCCCACCGTGGCTGAACGGCGTCCTCCGCCGCTGATACTCAGCCACAGCGACTCGCACGGGCCGCCAGAGGGGATGGGCAGGACAGCGGCTGACAACCCTTCACGGTAGATCACCGCTACCCCGCCCCCACGGCCGGTGGATCGTCTCCCTCCTCCGGGAGGGGGAGGGCGGTCTCTCCTCTCGATACGGTAACCGGGGAAAACCAGTATCCTGTCCTGCGCCGGGTCTGTCAGCCAGGTCTCCGTCGCACAAAAAACGTCCAAATCGTGTTGTCGGAGTAGCCGGTTAATGTCGTCCATCTTGGGCACGATCGAGCGCACGTTCGAGTGGCCGATGCTGAGCGCACGTCTCATTGTGCGCTCGTTTCGGCTCGGCTCCCAGCACGCCGTCTGTCGAAGCGTCAGGCGAGCGGGCGAGACCAGACAGCGCGCACGGCAGCCCGCGGAGCCGTCAGTCCGGTCGGGGTCACGGCTCCCCCTGCTCCGCCGCTCCTGCACCCGGCGGCCCGCACGGGCTCCGCGGCGGCGGCGGCCGGCACGCCGCCCACCGGCGGCCCCAGCACGGCGGCAAGCAGCGGCCGCTCTCCCCGGCCCGGCCGCACCCCAGGCCCACGGCCTGGCATCGCCCCTGATCGGGCGCTGCGGCCCCAGCCAGAGCGGCAGGTGGCCTTGACAGCAGACCAGGTCCGGTAGAACGCGGTGGAGAGTGGTGTGGCTCGCTGATTGGCGGACAGTCTCTCCTCCTCTTCCCAGACCGGTAGAATGCGGCGCGGCCGGCCAGGGGGTGGTGCTACATTAGCGCTACTGGTGGCCACCTCGCGGTGCTAACCGGCGCTGCTCGGCCGGCGGTCCGCGGAGAGCCGCACGCTACACAGGGTCTGCGGCACGTCCGCCGCGCGCGCACAGATAGGGGGCCTGACCTCAGCGCCATTAACGAGTCTCAGTCTTTCAGCGTGGACTCCATAAGGCGCGCCGGGTCGGGCCGGCCGCCGGCACAGGTCCGAGGCTAGGTCACACCGGGTCACCGAGGCCCAGAGGTCACGGTCGGCCGCTGGACGGCGCTTATTCGATGTGATATCATGTACTTTGCCAACCTTCGTGTAAATACTTATTGATCTCTTGTAGACGTACATACACATAAAGAGATACACTCGCGCGCTGAATACTTACCGCCACGCCTAACACCCTGCAAGCATGACCCCACATGAGGTCAGTATGGCTAATATTGTCGTAGTCTAAGTGTTGGCGCGGGCGGATGACCACGCCGTTTGCGGCTTGGAGTGAACAAATCGTATTTTGTGACCTTATGTTGGATGTTGATATGGCGATTGAGGCGCGTCGGGCCTCGGCGCCGGTCCCCGCTGGGTCCCGGTGAGTCTGCCGACCTGAAGGCGGTCTGCCGGTCTCGGCGGAGCTGGATGGCCCCCTCTGTTCGCGTCAGGCGCCGTGTAATGCGTGGACAGCCGGTAATGACTCTATGTTTTGTTATGTTTGTTTTATCCCAGTGCCGTCCTTTGTTGAGCGCAGCCGAGCTGTTACCGGCAGCAGCCCGTCGCGGCCCGGGGCTTGTTCGGCGTGTCGCCCGATGGCCGCTCACTCGCCCGCACACACTCCCCACTCCGGCTCCCCCACTCCCCAGTCCCCACACTCCCCAGTCGTTCGGCACTAGTGCGAGGCGCGAGCAGGCACCATATGCTAGTTTTGTAACGAGCTGGCGGCGCCGCCCGGCATACTGTCCGGCATACTGTCCGGTACGCTGTCCGGTATACTGTCCGGTATACTGTCCGGTACACTGTTATACTGTCCGGTATACTGTCCGGTATACTGTCCGGTATACTGTCCGGTATACTGTCCGGCACACTGTCCGGTATACTATCCAGCGCCGTCTGGTATACTGTCCGGTACACTGTTCGGCGCCGTCTGGTATACCATTCAGTATACTGTCCGATATACTGTCCGGTATGCTGTTATACTGTCCGGTACACTGTCCGGTATACTGTTATGCTGTCCGGTATAGTGTTCGGCGCTGCTGGGCCTCGCCAGGCGGGCGGCAGTTAGCGCGGACGGCGCCCGAACCAGAGTCCTGAGCTTGTGCCCCAGCTGTCCAGCAGCTGACGTCATATGTTCTCTGACGTCACAAGGAACCGTGCAATCATGTACATAAGTGTTCGCCATTGCCTGTCGTCCGATGCCAAATAAATGGAAAATCGCCCTCCCGACTGTTGACGTGTAGCTCTCGCTGTGCTGTTCCGTAGATGTTACTCTCTTACCCATCTGTCAATATGGGAGACTATTTTCATTATTTTCACTATTCTATCTGATGGCTTTAATGATACATTAGTATAAACGATGGAACCTT